TGGTTCGCCCTCCAGTGCCCTCCTGCTTCCTCCCCACGCCGGTCTGCGCAGAGGATGAGTAGGGGCACGGCTTCGGTTCGAGCGGTCGCTGGAATAAAAACTTCCGGGGGCCTGTTTCTCCTCTCCAGTCACCCTCCCCGTGCGCGGGAGATCTCGTACGTCATCTGAAGGACAGGGCAGTTGCTCTGTCCAAACTTAAGTGGTAGCTTGGAAGTTCCTCAACAGGACAGGTAAACTGGAAGAACCAGGTGGTTTACAGCTGTGGAACATCAGCAGTGCTTGTGTTCCACGTTTTGAGGCAGTCATCCTCATCTGCAGCGTACATGCCATGTGGTGTTTCTGCCTTAAAATGAGCAAGGTGAGAATGAAAACCTTATGAGAAACATCAAAGGTCCTTGAAGAGAATTGTGAAGGAATAGACACCACTATTAAATGGCATGGCACAGTGTGTCACTGGAGGGAGAAGTTATTGGTTGTCTTTCAGTGTGGTGGCACATGCTCTTGTCCAAGTCCTGGAACTTATTGGTTTTCTCAAGTCCCTGTGAACCCCAGCAGCATGATAATTGCTGAGCTTGCCTGGTGCTCAGCTCTTACCTGCATGTGGGCACAGTTCTGTGGTCTGAAGACGATGTCACATTCTGGACAGGCAGACAGTAAGTGGTTATACAAGAGTGACACATGGAAAGATGGAGAGCCTGAGGGAGATCAGAAAGGGCAACAGTCCTGTCATTGCTAAGAAGACAGGGGGGAAATGTGTTTGCAGGAGCCCGAGCAAGAGAGGGTTTCAGGCTACAGTAGCATAAGTGGGAAGGGTGTTCAGGGGAAGTGATGTAATTAGTCCCATGTTCACATCTCTTTTGTCCCTTGTGCTGCAAACTGGATACACAGTGTTCCCTTAACCCTCCTTGCAAGGCTAATGAGCACTGACAGAGCAGGCTCCCTGGGAGTTCAGAGCAAGCAAAAAAAACATTTCTTGAGGTAGTGCTTGGATAGGCTTATGTTTTCTGGATTATATGAGTACCTTTCTGAAGCAGAAGGCCTCAGTTACTGCCAAGATGAGAGGGGCTGGGATGATGAGCCAGTGCTCTGAACCTCATGTTGCTTCCTGAACTTGGCACCAGATTTGGGCCCAGCATGCCCCTTGTGTCATGGGGCAGTGTATTTGGTTTGTGTGGCAAGGTTTTGGTAGCAGGAGGACTGCAGGGGTGGCTTCTGTGAGAAGCTGCCAGAAGCTTCCCTCATGTTCAGCTCAGGCTTGGCCAAGGACTCTCAGCGGTGATGGTAGTGCCTCTGTGATAGCATCTTTCAGGGGAAAAAACCCTGCTGCAGAACAGCAACTGGAAGAGGGGAACAAAAATATGTGAGAAAACTGCAGACACCAAGGTCAGTGAAGGAGGAGGGGAAGGAAGTGCTGGAGCAGAGATTCCCGTGCAGTCCATGGTGAAGGTCATGCTGAGGCAGGCTGCTCCCCTGCCGCCCATGGAGGCTGATGGTGGAGCAGATATACAGCTTCAGCCCGTGGAGGACCCCACGCTGCAGCAGGTCAGTGTGCCTCTGTGGAGAGCCCATGCTGGAGATCTAGCAGGACCTGTGGACCCATGAAGAGAGAAGCCCATGCTGAAGCAAGTTTTCTGGCAGGACTTGTGACCCTGTGGGTGACCCATGCTGGATCAGTTCATGCAGAAGTGCAGCCTGTGGGGAGGACCTGTGTTGGGGAAGTTTGTGGAGGACTGTGCTTGAGCAGGGGAAGAGAATGAGTGGTGGAGACAATGTGTGATGAGCTGGTCGCAATCCCTCTCCCCTGACCCCCTGCACTGCTTGGGTGGAGAGGAATAAAGGAATTGGGAGTTGAGCCCGGGAAGAAAGAAGAGGTGGGGGGAAGGTGTTTTAAGATTTGTTTATTTCTCATTACCCTACTCTGATTTGACTGATAATAAATTAAATAAATTTTCCCTAAGTCGGGTCTCTTTAACATGTGCTGGTAATTGGCGAGAGATCTCTTCTTGTCCTTATCTCAACCCATGAGCCTTCTGTGCATTTTCTTTCCTGTGTCCATCTGAGGAGGGGCTTTGATGGGGACTTGGTGTCCAGGGAGGTCAGCCCACCATAGCCAGGCTGTGACTCGTTTTGCTAGGCCACAGTTGGGGTGTTTTGTGCCAGGTGGACAGTGTTGCGAAGGCTTAGAAAGACTGTGTGCCTGCCACTGCAGAGATGTTGAGCAGGCAAACACCATCCAAGTGGGGTTTGCTAAGACCTCCTCCTTCAGGAGAGCACCAAAGCAAACCTTCCTGTTCCTTGTCCTCCCATCATCTGGAGCAGAATGAGCTTATCCAACTGCTGCCTTAAGAAATGGTTTCTGATCTTTAGTCCTGAACACCCACAGCACAAATCCAGAAAGACTCGTTGACAATAATTTTACATGGTGGTTATAAGAAATGTTAAAGGTTACCATCACTGAGGGATATTAAAGAAACACAGCAACAGAAAATCCATGAAGAATATCTTGTACATCCATCAGCACTCGGGGCAGAATGGGTTTTGATGTTTCTTATGTTGTTTGTGCTGGTCATCTTGTCAGCAGTCAGGAGAGAAGGAACACTATGAAACACAAATAACATTGTGTGGAGCTCATGGCAGGGCTAGAATATGAAACTGTTTTTTGGTGTTGTGTGTTTGTTCTTCCCCTAGAGAACCAGGCTATAATTATTCCTGTTGGTCATGAGATGGTGAAAGTTGGATGTCTGGATTTTGGGCCTCTGTGGTGCTGAGGAGGCTCTGCCATGGGAATTGCTCTGTATTAGACTGAGCAGACTAGAGCCAATGTGCAGTGGGGAGAGAGTCTCTGAGTTTTAAGAGACAGACTGAACAGACCACGTGGTTTTCCACCTTCTGGCTGTCTTGTGCTGTGAGATGTGACGATGCCCCTTCAAAGGTGATGGGACAAGAGAATTTGTTGCAGTGAAAGAGTTGGGACTGAGAGGTGACCTTTCAGAATTTGCAGTGTGGCCAAATTACAGCCCAGTGCAGAGCTTATACTGCTCTTTCTACCAGGTGAAAACTTGGAGTTGATCTTGTGTGTGCTACCAAGTAGAGAGAGGTGCAAAGACACATTGGGGAGAGGGTGAGCCTAGTGCTGAAGGCTGCAGTGATTAACAAGAGATAAGTCAAAGGCTGAGAGATGCAGTGGCTTCTTCCTGCCATGCGGTTGTATATGGATGGCACCACTGTGCTTGTGTCACTGTCTCAGGCTCTGAGACACCCCTTTTGGTGGAATTTGGGTGTGGGAGGTGCCTTGAGAAGCTGTTTGTTTCAGATGTGTTCTGCACTGTCTTCCAGATCAATCTTTCATGTCTTTTGAGGAACGGCTGCAAGTGCAGAGTGATATGAAGACAAGAGCATGCAAGCAGATGACCAGTGGGAAGAAAACTGCAAAGCCTGCCACAGCTATGGTGAAGCAGAAAAAAGGCAAAAAGGGGTAAAGTGATTCTTTTGTAATTGGAAAAATGGGCATGTGTGCTCTCTGCACTCCAGAAATTATGCTGGGAGCTCCTCACAGTGTTGCCATTGCCTCGGAGCTGGTGTAGATCTCCTTTAATGTGCTACACAATAAGGCCTTTCACTGTGGTGTCTCATTTGGGAATGGTCTGTTGCTGTTTCAGAGCTCTTAATATCCCATACTGGTCAAATCTCCAGCTGCCACCTGCTACTTCATAGTTAAATCAACACTCAATTCCTTTACACCCTCAGTATGAAGGCACTTTTAACCCACGGCATGGTATGCTTCTCTTGTAAGCTCTATCATAGTGCTTTACTTGTGTCCCCTGGGTCCTGAAATAGTTACACTGCTGTTTTCTGAACCCCTTCCAGCTCAGCATCTTCTGCCTGGAGTTGCAGCGCCAGCCAATTGTCCTGGAATTTCATTCACTCTTCTACTGTTATCTCATCTGTGGCTTGTCTGTGTTGATTTTCCTGTAGCACTTGCCATCACAAGCTTTATTCCTGTCCTGAATGGTCCTTACATGCCCTATTTGTGTACTTTGTAGGTGCTATTGGTGTGTTGTATTCAACATCACAAAAAAAACTTATCAGATATTTCTAGAGTCTTCCACTGCCCCCCCCCCATAACAACTATTATACCATTACCATTTATTTGCAGTAGTGAGCTGGTTTTCAGTCCTCAAAGTTGTATCTAAGGGATTTGAACAGGCTTCCTCTGCTATGCTGCTATTCCCTAACCCATTTCTGAATCCCTGCTGAATGCTTCTTCTGTCATCAACAGCTGATTAGAATAATGTTTCTGCTTTACTTTTTACCCAGGAGTCTGGGGGATTTTGTGTAGTGCAACACCTTTGCACAGTGCATCTCTTTCTGCCAGACAGTTTGCATCATTCTGTGTCTAATTCCCCTAATCCTTTAAGTGATGCATCCCTGTAAATCCCACATGCTGTTTCTCTCATGTTCTTGTTAAGAGAAGTGAGCTTCCTTTAAAAAAGGGCTTTAGGGGAATGCCCTGGAACTGAGCTGCCTTCAGGAATGCTGTCTAAAGCTGGCTCAAGAGCACTGTAGAGGGGTTCACTTAATTGGTTGTCACTGTGGTCCTGATGCACTGTGAAGTCTCTTTTGGGATGTGTCCCATAAGCTGTATGCTCTGTATTCCTGGGGGCTGACCTTTTCTGTACTTGGGTTAGGGCATGCTTTCTCACTGAGCATGACCACAGTAGAGCTGGCCTGGCTTTGGAACTACCAGGTCAGTGTAGAAATTCCCAACTTCCATCTCACCTTTCAGTGTGAGTATTAGCCAAGACTGAATGAGTTGGTGGACCAGGAGTAGAAGAGGGTTGCTGAATAATGAAAGGGAACATGGAGAGGAATAATTGAGCATGGCACATTTACTGGTGTGGGGGGTGGATTTTCACTGGATACAGTAGGGCACATGAAGTTTTGTACAGGATTGTGTTAACCACACATTTATGCAACATTTAGTTGTAGCCTTGTCTGGCTCTTGACTGAATCACCTCATTGCTCTCTGTAGGTTCGTGGTGAGGACTGAGTGGGAGAGTGCTGTTTTGGCACTGTGCAGTAGAGCTCTCCTGAGAGTCTGGCTGACCTGTTGACATGTTAGCCTGGGCCTCATTCTCTCCTCTGGTCCTCTTAAATACATTTCTCTTTTTCAGGCCGTTGGAGATGTCTGCCAAGAGACCTGTACCTTTTCTGCGACAAGTGGTCTCTGTTACAAAGAAGGTGTGTGCTCTTCCTTCCCCCTTCAGGAGCTGACTTCCCTCAGGGATGTGGGTAGGGCTGGGACACTGTCTGGTGAGCACAGGTAGTGCTAGCAAGTCTCTGGAGAAGAGGTTGGGTGCAGGAGCACCTGCTCTCTGTGTAACGTGCTGGGTGTATTATGCACAACTTTGAGACCTAAATGTCTCTAGAACAGCTCTTGACTTTTGCCTTTCCTGTCTTCAGGTCCACAGAGACCCTCGATTTGATGACCTGTCTGGACAGTATAAGCCTGAAATATTTATGAAGACGTACAGCTTCCTGGATACCATTAAGAAACAAGAGAAGGAGGTGACATGCTGCTCCTTGGCTAGAAGAACCTTGCTTGGCAGGGTCAACTTCTGCAAAGCCCTTTCACAGTGGAATTGGCAGGCAGTCATGCAGCTTTTTGCTCTCTTCTTCAGATGGTTCAGAAGCAGCTAAAAAAATGCCGGAATGTGGAGCAGAAGGAGAAACTCCAGCAGCTCCTGAACCGCATGGTGAGTCCACTGCAGCCTCTTCTCTCCTGAGGCAATGCACTAGAAGAGAGTATGTGTGGCCTGAGGTCTGTTGAGACACTTGCTGACACAAGCCATCCTTTCTGTTACAGACACAGCAAGAACAGGCACAGAAAAAACAGCAGAAATTGAGGGAGAGGGAGCTGTCTTTGAAGAGACAACAGAGGGAATTGGCCAAGCAGGGAAAGAAGCCCTTCTTCCTAAAGAGATGTAAGTACTCAGTGTGAGCATGCTGCAGGAAGACCTAGAGGGAGCACTGCTGGCAGGACTCCAAGCACTGGAAACGAGTTGTCCCTAATGTTCCACAGAGCTGTGGAGGGGTTGTTCTAGTGCTGTACTCAAGGGAGAAGCCATGCTTGGGGCCAGGAAAGGAGACCTGAGGAGGGGCTGGTCTGTAGAGGTGACTCGGGCTTCACTTTGAAACCTTGCTCCCCCTCTCCTTTACAGCTGAGAAGCGAAAACTGGAGTTGGCTGAGAAGTACACAGAGCTGAAGAGGAGTGGAAAGCTAGAGAGCTTCCTGATGAAGAAGAGGAAGAGGAATGCCATTAAAGACAAGCGCCGTCTGCCCTCCCAGAACTTGTGACTGCTGGATGGACACGCTGTGGTCTGGCACTGGGACTTGCTCTGCCCTGGCCAGGCCTGCAAGATGACCATCCCTCTGCCCAGTGTCTGCCTGTCACTGTAGAGTGATGCTGTTAGGCAGCTGGGAAGAGATACTTGTAGATTAAATAGGTAAGTTTTAAAAAGAATTAATTCATCACTTAGGGATATAATGTTGGGTGTTTTGGATGCTGGTTGCTGAGCTTTACTTCCCTAGCAAGAGTTAGCTGGATTTGCTGAAGCCTTTGGCTGCCAGCTGTAAACTTCCACTAGGGTTTACTCAACTGTTCCTACTTAGCCCAAATGGGGCCTCTGGAACCAGTGTAAATCAAAAGAGAAGGAGGGTTCAAGGCTACAGCCATCAACAGCAGCTGTAGCTACTCAAGATAACAGCCTGCTGCCTGGAGATGGTGAGGGAATCCAATGGAGTCAGAAGGTATTGGAGGATCGTGGGCCGGAATCACCATTGGTCCAAAAAGAAAGTGAAAGGCACATGATGATCATGTGAAGGGTGGATCTGTGGTCTGTAAGGGTGTAAGTGCCTGGGGGTTTCCTTTTTTTTGGGGGTCCCTCTCTGGATGCACCCAGATTGAGCTGGCCCTGCTGCTGTACTGTTTTATTAAATTTACTGTTATGAGATTTGATGCCCAAGACTCTGCTTCAGAAAACCTAAGGTTTGGTCTGCACTTTAACACAGCAGAGCACAGGCTGAACTGAAGAAAATGGAGCTTTTTGTAGTCAAAAGGTCCTCTTCACTTGTGGTTTACACCACGCCTGGGTGGTGACAAGTCTGTCACGCCAGTGCACATGGTGTAACAGCTGCCTCTGTCCTTGCCCCTGATCATCTCTTCCTCTAGCTGGGGAAGCATGAACCCTACACTGCACTGCTTGCTCTGTCCCAGGTCTTACCAGACACCAAGTGAGATGGGAAAGGACCTCAGGTAGGAAGGCTGTGGTACAACACCTGCTCCAAGCAAGGCTACCACTGACTTCAGACCAGGTTTCCCAGTGCTTCTTCAGTTGGGTCTGGGAATGCCCAGGGACAGATGCAACTACCTCTCTTGCCCTCTACTCAACTGCTTCAGGTTCTCAAGAGAAGAGTTTTTCTCCTTCTTGAGGAAACCTGTCTGGTTGTAGGCCATAATCAATGTCTTGCTTTCAGTGAAGTGCCTGGCCCTGTCTTCTCAATAATCTTGCCCTAAGTCTGGGGAGTGGGTGGGAAAGGGATGCTATTAGGTCTCTTCCTGAAGGTGAATAAACCCTGTTCCCAAAGACTTTCCTTGAAGCTCTCCAGCCTTTGACAACTTTCATGTCCTCAACTGGAGTCAGATCTTGCTCCTCTGAGCTGTATTCTAGGGGCAGAAGTTGGATGCAGTATCTGGATATAGTCTCACAAGTGCTGAGTAAAGGCAAGAGGATGACACTCCTCTGCTTGGACTGCAGCCTGTGGTGTGGCTGGCCTTCCTCACAGCCAGGGCACACTGCTGCCTGTGCCCAGCTCCTGCTGCCGGGGATCTCCAGCAGGGCTGCCTCCCTGGGCTTCTCAGAGTGGTCTTTACAGGGCTATCAGTGCTCCTAGGAAACTAATTCTGTATGAAATAAAATATCTCAGTGTTCTTTTATTCTCAGTGTTGATGCTGTTACAGTCAAAAGTGTTTGAACTCGTGGGAGTTAATGCCTCTCTCCAATATTACGTTTGACCACCAGCTCTCACATTTCTCCTCACTCCTGATTGCCCCTGTCTCCTGTGGCTGTGCTGACAAGGAGATGATGCAGATGTGACCCAGAGGATCTGACAGGTCAGAGCGTGGGCAGGAAGGTGCCTCAGCTCTGCAGGGCAGAGTGCTCCCTGGGCACAGCCATGCTGTGTGGAGGTGGGTAGCTGGGGTGTGGAAAGTACTTGTGATGAGCAAGAAATGGAATGATGAGCAACTCCACCATGTCCACCTGAGGGTGTTGCTGCAGCACCTGCCTCCACAGCAGTTCCTGTGGGTGAAGTGAGTTCTGCTCTGATGACAGGTTTTAGTGTGGCTGCGGGAAGGCAGTAGAAATGGGATGTGCCAGTTTGGCTAGAGACCACAGGGAAATCCTCAGCTGCCTCCAGCCTGCATATGGCTTGTGTGCTCTGCGCCGGGCTGCTGCTTCCTCCTCCGCTTGCCTCGTGATGGGGGGTGTGGAGCCTGACGCATCCCTGCTCCCTCAGAGGAGAGCTGTCTTGGGAGTGGTGTGGCAGCACCAAAGCCCAAGGCTATCCTGACCCCTTTGTGGCACTCGTCTGCTGTTTTATGCTCTCAGTTTTTACCCCAAAGCTGAACAAGCCTCCACCTGTAATTCAAGGGGAGAAGGCTGGGCCTGGACAGGCTTGTGGTAGCTCACCTGTGTCACTGCTGCCAGGGCCTGGTGAGGAGGCCACGTGGGAGCAGCGTTCCTGAGCCCATATGTCCTCGGCCCGAGCTGCTGGTAGGTCCTGCCCTGTAGAGAGCAAGCCTGGTGCAGCCCCAAAGTGGTCCTGCTTTCCTCCTGCCCCTGTAGAGCCAAATGGCTCCTTCCTGCTGCCGCCTGCATGCCTGCCTGCAAGGAGGACTTCCCTGCTGGGATCTTTGGCACATTAGGGGTGAGGAGCAAGTCCCTGGGCCTGTCTCTCCCTGCCAGCTCCTGGGCCAAGTGCCCTGCCCAGCTCGGCCAGTGTTGTGGTGGCACTGGGTGTCAGGGCAGGCAGCAGCATGGCAGCAGCTCCACCAGGAGGTGATGCTTCCAGTGTCTCCAGAGAGCTTTCTACTGCCAGGGGAGCTGCTCTTCTCTGTGGCCTCTCAGCCTCAAGGAATCAATTTGGTAATTCTTGTTTCTAAGGCTGTCTCTGCCAGACTTGTTCTGGTGTTGCTCCAGGTGGAGTGTGGGGACCTGGAGTGGGTGTCCCTGGGGAGTGCAGCCACTGGACATGGCTGGAACCAGTTGATCTAACTGCAGCTGATTGCAGAGGCAGTGGTGGCTGACAAAGCTGCCGTAGATACTCTCCTAGCAACACCCTCGGAGCCCACCAGACTCACAAGGACCTGCTCTCCTCTCCCAACAGCTGCCTGGGAGGAATGGCTTCAGACCCAGGTGCCTGGGATGCTCTTCCAAGGCCTGGGTGGTCACTGAGCCCCCCGACCTCACCAGGTGCACCAGGGACAGGCACCCGTGGGAGCTGGGGGGACCAAGCCACCTGCCGGCAGGGACACAAAGATGAGGAGGCTGCAGAGCTTAATCATCTTTTATTGCAAAGAGGGAGATACAAAAAAGGGCAGTGGCTCCCTCCGGCTGCCCTGGGCCTGCAGCTGGCTGGAGGGGTGGCAGGGGGGGTGGAGGCCTCAGTCCCCCCACGCAGGGACCCCAGCTGACACGGTAGGGAGCAGGCTGCTGCCCAGCACCGAGCTGGAGCCAGGGCCAAC